TTGGCTGTTTTCGGCTGTTTTCAGTCGAATTTAGCCGATTTTGCATCAATCCTGCGAGAAACACACTTAGGGGCTCGGTTGGCCAAAAAAATACAAAAAAATCGAAACTCACTGGCAATGGAGCGCTTCGGTACAGTTGGTCCTCGGGTTTACGTTGCGGTTGGGTGTTTTGCTTCAGTCAACCTGTAGAGAAAAGAACGGTGATCACAACAGTGAAAAAATTACACCGAATGGGAATCGGGAAGGGCTCATCGGAGGCATTTTGTGAAATTTTCTGCGGCGGCTCCGTCGGGCTTCGTCGGTGTTTTTCGGCCAATTGGCCAGTCTTTTCACTCTGATTTGGCCATAGGTGAGCTTAAAATTAAATTTCATGAAAAAAAAATTTTTTACCTTCCTTGGCAGTCGAAAAGGGTTCCGGTGCGGCGGCGGTCGGCTCCCCAGTTACTAGGTTGTCTTTTCCGACGAGGGATTCTGGCGGCTAAGGTTAGGATTTGATGCGGATGGAGGTTATTTATATCCATCCGCTTTTGATACTGGGTTGTCCATTGCGTTTGATCTGTACCGTCCGATCGCGATTAAATAGGAAATGAATGAGTTGTTCATCGCAATCCAATATGGGCCGTCCATCGTAATTCACTCTAAGCTATCCAATCGCGTTTGAATCTGACTATTCGATTGTGTTTGGAAGAGAGCGCATCCAAGCCATTCGTGCGCGTGGGAACAGACCTCAGCCGTTCGATCGCGCGCACGTGGGGCCCCCGTGTGGCCTCCTGCATTAGCGCCTCTGCCACTTGGCGCTTCTTGGTTGGTCAGGACTGATTACTCGACGTCTGACGTAGCGAAACTTCTCAAAATTGCGCTTTAGCTCCTGTTTTCTGATTTTTCTTTCAAAAATACTCTCAAAATCCAAATTTTTACGCATTTTCTTCAAAATTATTTTTAATTAAATTCTCTTTACATTTTATTTCATTTCTTTTTATTCTAAATTAAATAAAACTAAAATATAATAATACAAAATAAAATAATAAAAATTTATATTTATTAATTTTTAATCACTAAAAAAAAATTGTGGGTGTTACAATATTATTGAGGTGGTGAATTCGACTCGTGAGTTTTGCCAAAGTTGTACTGGAGCTACTAGGTGTAACAAGTATTAAAATTTTATGGTGGATGGATCCACGACCAATTTGGCATAACCAAAAGCTAAAGCGGTCAGTGTGATTGCCATGGCTCTGCTCTACGAGGTATAAATGTCTCCTGTAGGTATTTAAGACATAGAACTAGATCGGATTATTTGAATAATGTAAGAACAAATATTCAAACCTTGGCAATAGAGATAATATAAAATGAATTTACATATTTTTAAAGTTTAAAATTATTAATAATATTCTTTGCTAATTTATGTGAATATATTTTTAAATAGAGATTTTACAATAATTAGATTAATTTTAGAAATCTGTATTTATTTATTTATTTATTTTAAAATAATAATAATAGCCTACAGTAAATACTCAAAATTGATTTACTACATCATGTCTACATGTTATTTTTATTGTGAATAAAATCATTATAATAAAGTGGGAATGAGCTTGAAACCAATAAATAAAGCAAACGCATGCTCTCTATTGGGCTGTAACCAATCTTCAATGCTCATCTTTTGCCATAATTAGAAAAGAAAATTGCTGTTCACACTTGAGAATTAGTATTATGTAGAAAAAAGAAATATATATATATATATATATATATATATATATATACACACACACGTATATGATTCATACAATCTATATCTTTTATACCCAAAATCATGACAAACAATTGGAGTAGATTTTTCAATTTCAAAGTACAAATATTTAAAGTGCTTCATTTTTTAGCATGTATGATTGAGGCACAAAATTTTTATATTATATTTAGTTTAATTAAATCTATTTTATTTAATACATAAACATTTACTACGACCACATTTAAATTTATACATATCAAATTAAATACATTGATGGGAGTTCACAGATTGAAAAATGTAGTCTCATTCAATTTGTAATTTCATTTTATTATTTTCTTCTTCCCCCAACAACTAAGTCAATTGCATTATATTTTTATTACCTCTGTTGACAACAAAATTAATTGCAAGAACCATCCACATTCCCACCCCTACTACTACTAACTAGGAAATTCAATAGATTAAATAATTTTAATCTATGTATATACACTTCAATTTAGAATTCATAAGAAATTTTTGCAAAAAAATTAAAAGTTTGTACATACTATGCGTATATTGAAGTGTGTTTAAATCACTGTAACTGATCATGGTTTAAATCAAAATACAACTAGTATTAATACTTTGATTAGATAAAAATATGTAATTAGATAAAATTCAAAAGTGTCAAGCTAATTTATTACTATTGAAGATAAATATAGAAGTTGTAATTTATTTTATTTATTAATTTAAATTCAAATAATATTTATTTTTATTTAAATTTAAAATATATTTATTTTTTTTAAAAAATTATATTATTAATAGAAGTTTATTTTTAAAATATTTATTTATATTTATTTTTAAATAATGATATATTATTTTTAAAAAAATTTAAATCTAATCTAAATCTCCTTTTAAGTTATTAATTTTAAAGAGAATAAAGGTTAATAAAAATTTACATTTTCTTCGTCTTAGTAAAATTTTAATAATTACAATATAATAATTGCTAAATATAGTATCTATGTAGATTGAAAAACAATATCGTCAACAACTATCCCCATCTTCATTCTAAATGAGGTGTGTGTTTTTTTTCTTTTTTTAAAAAAAAAAAAAATTGTTTTCTCAAACAAATTGATAAGTGATTTTATTAATTAGGGCAAAGAGAATCGATATGTAACGGTAAAGAAAGACAACTTTACTTATTTTGGAGGATTTTTCTGTGATAGCAAAAAAAAAAAAAAATTATTTGAGAATATGAGATTTATACATAAGGTATTAATCTCGTTATTGAAACTGTTTTAACTAGATTTTGAAAGAAAAATCGACGAGTCTAATAATAATAATTTTAAAAAATAATTAAATTAAATTCTACGTCTGATTATTTATCCAAATTACTTCAAAAAATGCCACCACCATCTCCGTAATCCGTTTGACTATTCACTGTGACCTCAAATCATCTTCCATACTTACTCTCTCAGTTCCTTATATGACTTGATAGAATCCCCATTTTTGCAATCTGGTCCTCCGGCTTTTCCCAATTCCCAAATTCTCTCCTCCTTGCCACCCTCTGTCCATAATCCCTGCCTCCCTATTCCCCTATGCCACTTTTCTAATTTTCAATCTTTTGTATCTTTATTCTCTTATCTTCCTCAAAATTTGTAATTCTGATTATTATTCAGCCTAAGGTTGAAAAAATCGGTGTTATTTTTATATTTTTTTTGAGGGGGTGCTCCTGAGATGAAGATCGAAGAATTAGAGGACGCAGATTCCGATCATCACAATGGTGGCGTTCTCTCGAAGCAGCACATAGTGAGGGTGGACGCTAAGAGGGCACTAGTTGGGGCGGGTGCTCGGATCCTCTTTTACCCAACCCTTTTGTATAACGTCTTCAGGAACAAGATCCAAGCTGAGTTCAGATGGTGGGATGAAGTTGATCAGGTCTTTGTTTTGTTTGTCGTGATTTGTCTGGTCTTTTAATTTTGACGAAAATGATCTTATTTTATTTTATTCTCTAGATGTTGGGTTTGTTTATGCTTGTTTGGAGCCTGAGGAAGTGAACAGAAGTAGGAGGGATTTATGGTGTTGAGAGGAGGTAAATTTCAATTTAGGAACTTGAGACTTTTGGTTCTGATAAATAGAAGGAATTATGCTCCTTCTGGTTACTGTGAAATGTGGAGACTTAATTCAAGAAAAATGAGTTCCAACTGTTAGAATTCTGTTTAGCCCGAAAGTTAAATCTAGTCTCATATTTAGAAACCATCAGAGGATTTTGAGCTTAGGAATTCAAGTTATTAGCATATTTTTCTTCAATTTTTTCTTTTGCTCTCTGGACTAGTTGGAAGGTGAAGTCTTGTTTGGTCAATGGGCGGAGAACTCTAGTAATGGAAATGCTGGTCAAAGTTCTTGATATTGCTATCTTGCCCTTTTGAGGCAGTTATTTGATTGTTTTGGCGTCTAGGTTTAATGGCTGATAGAAGGAACTATATGCTCTGTCAACGGAGTATTAGTAGTGGTATATATTCTTCATTGAGGTGATTTCTCATTCCTTTGATGTTTTTTTCTTTGGTTTCATTTGCCCTTTTGGGTTTATGCATGGATTTCAGTATCTTCTACTTGGCGCGGTCCCATTTCCCAAGGATGTTCCACGGTTGAAGCAGCTTGGGGTCGGTGGTGTAATCACTCTCAATGAGGCTTATGAAACTTTGGTTCCATCATCTTTATATTACGTGGGTTATTTTTCTATTCAATATGTTTATTTTGGCTACCATTTCATACAAATGTTGCTATTTAAGACAGATTCATCAAGAGCATTAGCTTTTCTGTTTAGGTTTCTGAAATGATATTTTCTTTCCTTGTGTTTATTCTCGAGGTTCTTCTATAACTCTGAGAAAGCTAGCTTTTCCTAAAAAGTATATTTACATGAATGAACTTTCCCTTGTATCATTTTCTGGTTTACAGGCTCATGGTATTGATCATCTAGTAATACCAACAAGAGACTATCTATTTGCTCCTTCATTTAAAGATATCAACCAAGCTGTGGATTTCATCTACAGTGAGTGGATATCCTCTGAACTAAGCTCTAAATCTCCTACTTACAAGTGGCTTTTTCATCTATGTGATTTTTATTTTCTTTCCTTCATCTTGTTTACAGAGAATGCTTCATGCGGTGTAACTACTTATGTTCACTGTAAAGCTGGTCGAGGAAGGAGCACAACCATTGTGCTTTGCTATTTGGTAATATTCTATCTATTACATTTATGTTACACAAACATTATGTCTATTATAGAAGGTTCTTGATCTTAATTTTATATGATTAACTTTTGGTTAGTCAAAGATTGGTTATATAAACTTATCTTTGATGCATTTGCACATAATGGCTCATTATGCAGATAAAGTATAAGCACATGACTCCTGTTGCTGCCTTGGAGCATGTGCGGTCTAGAAGACCTCGTGTGTTGCTAGCTCCCTCACAATGGAAGGTAAATAATATGTTGTACGCAAAATCTTTTTATGGATGATATGCAGTTTTCTTGTTTTGCAATTTTCTGTTAGATTTTTTGTAGTTTTCTTTTGTTATTAATTAATCTTTTGAATTTCGATTTTTTGGTTTTTAAGGCTGGAACTGAAAATGCTGATGATCTTTAAGCTAAACCTGACGCATTTTAGTCAATGCATTTTAAGATTTGCGCTATTTTCTTGTGAAATTTGATGAAGTTGTGATCTTTATTTATTATAAACTGATTTTTCCTATTGTATTTGAAACAAGAAATGCCTGCTTAGTTGGCCTCAGTTAGTTTGCTATATGGTTATTGGTTATCAATTATGATGAGCAGGCAGTTCAGGAATACAGCAGGTGCTGTCCGGCCACCAGTGTGTGCTCTCCCTCAAGAGATGCTGTTCTGATAACAAAAGCCGATCTTGAAGGGTATTATGGTGCTTGTGATTACAATCCTGGTAAGGAACTTGTGATTGCATCTGGAGTGATGAAAACAATGCCCATGATAGCTAGGCTCTCCTGCCTCTTTGCATCCTTAAAAGTTTCTGGTGTCTGTGCACCTGCTACGAGACAGCTGCCTGAGGCCCGTGCATGCTAAGCCCCCCCCGCGGCAACATGACACAAGGTTGTTGATGATTATACAGAAAAAGCATTGTTGAAGTAATTAGAGAGGTATAATAAATATTCCATATTACAGTAAATTAAATTTAAGTTGGTGAGAGGAAAAGATGGAAGAAAATCGGATAAAAGAAAAGTTTGGAAGAGCACTTTAATGTTGTTGTGAAAAAGGGTATTCGTGATGCACGATCCATGCATTTCTGCTTTTATAGAGATCCTTGCATTTTATATTTCTGTATCATCTTGTCCTAATAATTTCAACTAGGACATGCTTCTTCTTTAATTACATTGGTTGGTCATTCTACTAGCATATGAATAATTTGTTCTACTTTGAACTCTTAGTTTGCTGCCCAGCTTCTTGTTGAGTGGTAAGTCTCCATTGTTTGACATGTCTTAAACCTTAAAAGTCTTGATGGGTTTTTGTGTGTGAGGATAATATTATTTCATACAGGGAGAGACATATTTTAAAGTTGGGTAGGGTAATTGATAAACGATGATGGGTTTGGCTGGCTAATTAAACTTATATTCAATTTGGACTAAAATTAGATTTGTATCTTCTTAGAATGGAGTAGAAAGTTTGAGATATGTTACTTAAATCTAATCCGAAATCATACGTATAATCTGATGGATTAGTGAGTGGTATGAGGTGCGTAGAGGAGGTCTCTGTTTACTCCATTCTCATTAATTACTCCTTACTACTTTTTAATGAGATGATTTAATCTAGATGATGCTCACAGCCGTCAGGTATTGATGATTTTCATTTACGTTGTAGTTTCCTTATATTTTTATATAATTCATGTTTGAATAAATTATATATATATATATGATGATGATGATGATGGTATATATTATAATATTCAAAATAGACGACTAAAAACTATATGTATATATATATATATATTTATTTGTATTTTTCGGGAATTTTATTTTTAAAGTATCAAAATTTGACCCTGCCAATCACTTCTTATCCATTTTTTTATCTCTGTCAATTAAATTATTATTGGTTCAAAATTTATGTTTAAGTTAATTAAATCTCTTCAGTTGTATACACCGACGGTTTAAAAATAAAACTCTTTAGAGAATTTTTTTTAAAAAAAAAAAAAAACAAAAACAAAGCATAAATTTGGTCAAATGCAAATATGTATTAGTTACGTAACTTCTGATACAGAAACAAATAATTTTAAATATATGATTTGTATTATGGCAATTGAATGAGTGTATTATTTATATCAGATTATTTTGTTAATAATATTCTTAAAATAAAACTATAATAGTAGATTATTCACTACTAATTGTATAATTATATTATAAGTTATTTAAATTATTTTTTTTTATTTTAGATTTAAATAATAATAATTTAAAAGTAATATTTATATGGGTAAATGACATTTGTACGTAGCAATCTTATTAATCCTATATCTGCTGCGCATGTGTGTGTATTTATATATTATATCATTAGCACTGATGAACCATGAGAATGCAGTAATAATAATTAGAAAGTGTTTGAAAATTAGTAAGAGTGAGGCATAAGACATTTATTTCTTTTAGTTCAAATTCCGGTGTTACTTTCACCAAAGGAAAATTGAATTTTGCAGAGTCTAAATCAAGTATATATTGTAATTTATATCTTCCGCAAATTACAAATTAGAACCTTTGATCAAATATACATTGGCCGGAGAATCCAAACTTTATCCTAAAATAAATTAAAAGATAAAGATTATCTTTCCAATTGAAGATGGTTGGCCATCTACATTTCCCATCACCTAGTAATTTAAATACAAATTAAATTAATCATGAAATATTATGACTGTGATTATTTATCAAAACTGATTAGGGTTTTGTTTATATATATATATATATATATATGTATCTAAACATTCTTTTTCTTAATTGAAGCAACAACACAAAACGCACACGCAATTTGCTAACAAGAACACAGTACTTATAATTCAAATAGACAGGGTCTTATAAAGGGAAGTAAACTACTAATTATTTGGCCAAAAAAAAATTTATAATTTAATACTTGTATAATCTTTTTTTTTTTTTTTGTTAAGTAAAGATTAATTAAAAAGCATTTTACCTTTCATCCCTCCCTCCAAGTAATGATTTAGCCATTTGATTTGGACGAGTTAATTGAAAAAATAATTAAGAGTTAAAGAGTAGTGGAAGGTTCGAAAGTAAGCAGGTGGGCTAGAAGTTCTATGGAGTGAATTGGACCAATTAGACTAGTTTGATGATGTGGTGCACCATTGACTGAAAAGCATAAGGTGTTAATTTGTTGGAGAATCCTGAAAAGGTATATACATATATAGAGATATCGATATAGATTCGTGTTTGCACTAGACAATTCTTCCTGCAACTTCTTTATGGGACCAAATCTCTGCAACTTCACACCAATGAAACCTAAAAATACTTCCTTCCTTCCTTCCTTCCTTCCTTCTTTCCCCTTTTAAAATCTCCACATAAAAAAAGCCAATATCAACTTTTTAGGTTGAACACCACATTCCATTCCTTTCTTTTTTCTTCTCTTTTCTTTATTTGCATGTGGAAACAGACAACACTTCTCTCTCCATCTATTATTGCTTTCTTTCTACTCTTACGTCTACTACTAATACTATCATCTCTTCTTCTTCTCCCTCAATATATGTATGTATGTATGTATGTATAATACCATGCATGATCTCTTGCATCGAACACAAGTATTCAGTGTCTGAAAAGTAGGATATTGCAAAAGTGTGATGGGCAGGACAGTGTTTTCGTTTTATTATTATTATTTTTTATCAGTGATTAAAATTAATTATTAAGATATATGTATTTATTATATAAGTTATGTGGGGAAGGTAAAATAATGAAATGGAATAAAAAAGTAAATGAAGTGTCAATTCAAAACTGAAAGGTTATTCTTGTCTGCTCATTCCTTTATTCTCTTGAGAAACTACGATGAAGCTGCCTCCATCTTCTTCATAACTTTTTATTACATGCACCGTACGTGCCATGAAACGAAAAGACACCATCCACCTTTGTCTCTCCCTCTCTCTCTCACCTCAATTATATACACATATATAAATATACTCGATATAATATCTAAGTATGGAATGGAATAAAAGGAAGCATATATTAGACAAGTTTCCAATATTCTTAGTAATTACGAATAAATTAGCCCATACCACTGTGTATATATGTATACTGTTATATTTGTTTGTTTTTAACTGTACAAATAAAGATCCCAACCCAATGACAAACTATTTTAACCTCCCACCTTCCGCTACACTTTCTCTCGTTTAATTTTGATAAAATAATTAAAATTTATTAAGAATGTGACAAACCCACTAGAATGAATTGATGATGATTGTAAAGATTATTTTCTTTATCCCCAAAAAAGATTGTTTTCTTTGGAAATGGCAGCTTCCCATTTGTCTCTTTTTGATGATGTGCTACTTTACATGTACGTATATATATATGTGTGTGTGTGTGTGCGTATCATATATCGGTTGCAACTGCTAAATATAGCACCATCATTATCTACTGTTCTCTGAAAATGTCACTTACTGCCGAGCTGTTTAATTCATCCAACTCCAAATTCTTTTCTGGAAATGAAAATAAGTACGCTTCTTTTTCATTTCGAAAATTCCAAGAATCTATATATGTACACATACTAATTATACTTATCCCATTTCGGCCTCAAATTTCTTATTTCTTATATATAAAAGGAACCCAAATAGCAGGCACTTCACTACAACCATACATATATACATATATATATATATATATATTAAAAGTGAAAATCTGACGACATAAACTAGTCATACACACGCATATAAATCCGCTTGTTTATTACATCATTCATGATCATCACTAATCTAACGAAGTATATATTTCCCTAGAGGATTTAAAGTAATTAACTTAAAATATCAGTTATACTCCCATTAATACACTCGAGATCCATATATAGACCTCGTGACATTAATAAAAAGACCCAGGGAGACAGTAGTGATGAATAAGGTTCAGAATAATAGGGCACGAGTAATTAAAATAAATAAGAATAATGCGGCACCCAAATTAAATTAAATTGAAAATGCAACTCACTTTCTGAATATTGATAGCCCTTAAAAAGATTTGAATCCTTTTTGCTGAGAACTTACGTTTTGTTATCAATATTCTGGAGATGTACAAATAGAAAAAGTATTTCTTTAAATTGTTCTTCTAAAGCTTTATTTACAAGAAAAAGTTACAAGCTCCATCCATTAATATACAAAATAGAAGGAATTGAATATTAGAAACTTGATTATAGCATGAGTGGCCATTTCCGCAAATTTGATCGTCACATTCAGGAAATTATAAGAAAATTAGGGCAACATTCATATATTTATATCCGAACAACAATATTACTGAAATAAATAGGGTAGGGAGCAAACGTACAGACGAAACCATCGGAAAAATGACCAAGGAATGAAATAAAGAGTAAATTATACATAAGCATACATATTTTCATTTCTATAAAAGGGAATTAAATAAAGAAGCCCCTGTTCATATATAAATATATATTTTTTTTCTGTAACCACGACATAATTGAGAAAGTAATTGTTGCAAGAGTGTGGTAATATTTTCTTTTGTGAAAGGGAAGAAAATATACAAACTTGATAAAATAATAAAATAATTATAAGAAAATATATATAAAGATGATGGTGTAATGATGACGGTGATGATTTTGATGCAGGAATAGAATTTGCTTTTGGGTACTGTTTGGTTCTCCTTCTACTGTCAGTAGAGAGGTAGCAGCCTTTCTTGGCTTTCTTTCTTTTTTCTTTTTCAACCTGCTCTTTCTTCCAAACATGGATATCGTTGCAGGGAGTTAGTTCATGAGTTGGGAGTTGATGACAGCCATTTTCAAGTCGAGACCTTCTAAACCAGGTCCCCCCCATCCCAAGAGAAGCGAAAACAAAAAGGAAAAAAAAAAGGAAAAAAACAAGGAAAAAGAAACAAATTAAAGAGCAAAGTATAGATATGCATGGCCTCTTCTTAGAAAGAACTTGAAGAAGGAGGCTTCATAATGATGATCGATGAGATAATGATGGTGTCTAGCTGCTACAACAAATTTTTTTTTCAAAGTTTTATTTTATCTACTGTATAATTTTTTTTTCTTTTTTTGATCCTACCCATGATGATCCTGGTTGTCAGGGTCAGGCCAGAAGGAGTACTTGAGCCATTCTGTCTCTTGAGGGTTTGGAACAGATGACTCCTGCAAAAAACAGTGAAGATTTTATAACAGCAAATATTTTTCTCATCTCAAAAAGAAGTTATGAAGAAGCTGCCTTTTTTGTCCTTTTCATATCTATAATCAAATTTGTCACGCGAGCTTGAGAAAAAGATTTTACATACAAATATGTATATGCTCCTTTAAAAGAATAAAAAGATAAAGTATTTGTGTATACTTCCAAAATATATTCCACACGTACCATGTCTCGCTAGGAAGAAACTGATATCAAAATTTCAAATTCTTAATCAGGTCTTAAAGCTTCAAATTATCAAATTAAACATGGAAAAAGGGGCAATGTTTCAGCTTTACTTCTCGCTCCCTTTGTTGTTCAAAAGACAAGAAAAGATTCTATTATATATATATATATATATATATGTACATTCCAGGCTTGTTATATGTTTCTATGGTCCATTGCAGGTATTCTTTTCTCTTTCTTTCTGGGTCACCTAAACCCTGATGTGGAAAATAAGATATGGCGACTATATGTCTTTTCCACCTCCATATCAACAAGCATATATCATAGCTAAAAGTGTTTTTCTTTTGAATATAAGGATTTTGTACATCTAATCTGACATATACAAATATATATATATATATCTCGGGGTAATTAACCTTCAAATTAAATATGAGGGGGGAAAAGAAAAACGAAAGGGAAAAAGAGAAAAAGAAAAAGGTTTCTAGTTCCTCTCTTTTTTAGTGTTTAAAATAATATACAATACAAATAAAGAAATCGTTATGATGCACTCTTTTTCCTTCTCCTTTACCTTATTCTATGTTTTGTTTTCCTTTCTTTTCTTGTTAATTTATATCTCATAATAATTCCATAAATTAGTTTAACAATATATGTCTGTAATGACATGTAATGCATGTACATATATAATGGTGACGTAAAAAAATCAAAACGCAGTGATGCCATAAATTATAAATCATGAGGGGTTGTAGTAAATTCATTGTTGATTAAGTGAATAATCATGTATGTAAAATGTGATTTATAATTAAGCTCCAAAACATAATATTCGAAGCAGGCCAGCTTAAAAAAAGATATATATAATGATATGATTTTATGAAGTTTAACTTTTTCTTATATGGTGGACCCAGAGGATACGTAGGAGAAAGAAATAAAGAGAAGAGGTTGAGGGGGGACATGGAATTCAGAGTCAAAAAGTTGATACTCACTTCCTTGATATCAGTTGAAGTGCAACCCATTATGAGTTCCTCCAAACCAGATGCAGACCTCCCCCCTAGTTTATGATGCTGTTGTTGTTGTTGCTGCTGCTGCTGCTGCTGTTCATTCAAATTAAATTAAATTAATCATCATCATACATCTCTCTACAACTCACATGTCAATTAAACCACAAACTAACCTAATCAAACAAGAACTAATTAACCCGGAGGGTATATATATGTATACATATACACATTGAAATGTGCGTGGGAAGCCAACATCTTGGTGAGGAAAACTATATGTAAGTTTTCATGAATAGAGAAGATGAGAAGTGGAATTTGGGGTAGGTAGTTTATATACATTACGCACCTGAAAACTTTGATTTTGAAGCATTATTCGGGAGACGTGGTAAGAGTCCTCATCGAGAATGATGGAGGTATGGTTGAGGGGAGGAGGAGAGATGATGTTAGAGATGGGATGTGAAGGCCTGGCGATATGGAAGGCCGCGGTGGCAATCTGATGTGCATGGTGTTGTTGTTGTTGGATATGATCGTGGCCCATATGATGTGATCTGTGGTGCTGATCAGCTCCCAAGTCCTCGCACGTGCCACCAGCTGCTCCTGGTCCTTCCCTTCCCGTCGAAGCCTCTCCTATCCCCACCTGCAAAAATGGACATACACCCATGTATCAGTCTCCTACTTTGTCCATTTCTTTCAATATATATCGGTTTCAAATTTATTATCAACCCACTGTGTGTGTCTGTGTGTGTGTGTGTGTGTATGTATGGGTGGGTAAACCAAGTCTAGTTAGCTAAAAATGATAATCAAATAAGGTCCATGTACAGTTCTAATGCTGTATCTGCAAGCAACTAATAGGAGATTAAAAAGCAACCCTAGCTAGAACTTTTTAGTTTCAACCATTCCCTTTACTTTCTTTCTTTCTTTTCTAGATTTAGTCTAAGATTTATTAGATGTTAAAACTTTAACGTCTATGCTCGTTTAAATTTTGACCAGGATCGTGGTATATAAATGGGAAGTTTTTAAATCAATTTCTTAATTTAATTTGTGAAGCTGACAATTAAGTTTCCTAGATTTAAAGCTTTCGTATTCCAACAATTTGCTTACCGCAAAGATTGGTTTAATGAGTATACATCTTCTACTGTAAAAAAATTAACGCAGTAAAAGACATAATACGCTGAATAGTTGAATATTGATTGATTGTTAGTGATGTTTTTGTTTGATTAGGCTGAGAAGAATAGACCATTAAAAACATGCATGCGAGTTTTTCAAGAAGAAGAAGAAGACAGATAGGTGGTGTGTGTAGATAGATACCTCATCAAAAGTTTTCCTGAAGGGAACAAAGCTGAAATGATCTGACTTCATGTGCTGAATCTCCATAGCTGCATAATTAGGAATAGCAGCAGCAACTTCATGGTTATCTCTATGAGGAATATTAATTATTTCCTTAGAAGAAGAGCTGCCGCTACCACTATCTCGTCGGCTGTTGGGATCACTGGTTCCATCGGCAGTGGTGGATGCACTTCGATCCGACCAGTTGCATTGTCTGGGCTGAGTCTGATAGAAAATCTTGGAGACGACAAGCTCGCCTTCCTTCTCTTCTTCGTGTTGACCAAGATGGTATTGGTGCATGACCCAGTTAGTCTTTTCGGGTTTTCGGTTCTTACCAAAGTTGGTATAGAGGACTAAGATTTTCTTGCACCCTTTTTGCTTCCCATTCACCATAACCGGCCTGGTCTTGCCGGTTTTGTGCCATCTTGTTTCTCCACCTTGTAGGTCGCATTCGGTTTGAATTTTCCTTCTCTTTCTTGTACCAGTGGTGTAAGCTTTCGACGGTCTATGGAAGAAATGCCTGCTCAGTCCGTCTCTAGTAACTCCTGCAAGAAACGTACGTTAATTCAAACCGTTGCCATAAAATCAACGTTAGGTGCAACAATTTCAGATATCATAACTCATACGTACAATGAATCTTGTATGCTTCAAAACTCATAAACAAACTAAGAAGAACAAGAAATATATGGCTACAACTTGCAGCTTTTCATTTATAATTATGTATATACACTGTATATGAAACCTAATCACATTGAATGTAATGATGGGGAAGCAGTGATGATGAAGAGAGAGGAAATTAATTGTCAAGAAAATTAAGAGAGAAATTAATTAAGACCTGGAAGTTTCTCAGGATGGGTGTAACAAATCCCATCTTCTCCTTCAATGGTGGGGATGAACTCATCTATCAAAGGATGAGATTTCATGTCTTTGGCTTCAACTTTGGCTTCAAGGTGTTCTATCAGTTCTTGGTCTGTTGGATCAAATTTCACTCCTGCTGGTAGACCTAACCAGTCCTGTAAAATTAATTTAATCGCATTCAGTGTCAATAATTAATTGAAAACCACTGAAAGCAAAAGAATGTTTTTGAAAATAAATAAATAAACAAATAAATAAAGAGAGTAAAAAGGGAGAAATTTGAAAAAAAAAAAAAAAGGTAGCCAGTATTAATAAGTATTAGAAGGAAAATAAGAGTAAATAAGCCCAGAAAGAATAAAACAGGAAGCATAATCCTTTTGTTTGAATTTTGATTCTTCATCTTTTTGAGAAAATCTTTCAGCAGAAGCTAAGAATATTAAGAAGAGATTGGTGATGATTAAAATTAAATATTGATTCATACGTACCGGCTTTGCTTCAAGCTTGTGGCCGCAACCGGGACACTGCTTGGATCCACAGAGCTGATGCTCTTCGAGCTTGGCATCGATGAGATCAGTGTTACTTATGGATCCCAAATTGTTCTTATTCATTTCTCCTTTCCGAATTAACTCCTAATTTCTCTCACTAAACACTTGAATATATCCTTTTCCAACTTATATAATAACACCCCCACACTGCACATATCCCGATCCTCTCTCTCTCTCTATCTCTCTCTCTCTCTCTCTCTCTCTCTCTCTCTCTCTCTCTATCTTTGTGTATCTGAATCTAACTTGCTTGAGATCTGATGTTCTGCAAAACACAAGAAAATAATTATTTCATGATCAAAAATATCAAAACACGTACAAGCTGCAAACAATGAACAACTTGAAACCAATGAAATTTTTAATGGACAAAGCAGTCCAAAAAAAAAACACCCAAAAAACATATACCCAGAACTCGAATCTTACAAAAGGAATCGGTGTTTGTGAGTACCAGTTCATCAGAAAAAAAAAAAAAGAAGAGGAAGAAAAGAATTAAAGCTAGCTCAATGAAGAAACAAACTTACTTGGAATTAAAAACCCAGGTGAACCCAAAAGAGGAAATTAAATATTATTCTTTTTGAAAAAAATAGGAATAAATTGGTGCAGAGAAGGAAGAAGAAGAAGAAGAAGAAGAAGAAGTAGTTAAGGGGGAGGAGAAAGAGAAGGGGGAGGAAAAGAGGAAACTGTCACAGTGGGATTGAACTATAAACCTGCTTTAACCATTGGAATACCCCAGAATTCCCTCCTTACTCTCTCTCTAACTTTAACTGAAGCCAAGTGAGGAAAAAGGAAAAGTTGCCACCCCTAACCTACACTCATCACCTTTAAGCCTTTGCTAATTTAAGAAGCGCATGTAGCAAGGCGGTTTATTTGAGAGAAAGACCGCAAAAAAAGAGAGAGAGAGAGAGAGACAGAGACAGAGAGAGAACAGGATAGATAGATGGAGATACACATATACATAAACATATATTATAATATATAATAAAAAGGAAAAAAAAAAAAAAAGATTGAAAAAGGAAAACAAACCCAACTGGGACTTGTTTTTAGTTATCGTAAAAGCTTCAAGAGATGTTTAGAGGGCTTGACCATTAAAGCAAAAGGCAAGAAACGGCCTCCATAGATCACAGCTAGCTGTTACTCAAGCCATCCATCCATTCAAAAGCATCAAACATCCCCCATCCCCTTCTTTATATTTTAATATTTTCTAAATCTTATTATATATACACTTTTACATACGTAAACAAATACCATTTGGCTGTAAATAAATGAAAACTGTTCAAGAAAGAAATTAAAGTTTTTTTTTTTTTTTTTTTTTAATTTGTTTTTCACTTCGTGCCATTTTACGTGGCAGGTACTGAAGATTGAGTAATAAAGACGATATCTGATAATTAGAGAGAGTTAGATTTTCTTTTTTCTTTTGGGGATTACTTAAATTAAACATGAATTTTTAGTTTATTAGTTAGTTAATTAAGACCCAAAAACAATTCTGTTTAAATTGAGAATTGGAGAGATTATGAATATAAGTAAAAGGGAAAAAAATAGAAATAGAGGGAGTTAAAAATTAAAAGAGAAAGGATGATAGAAACTCACATGGGTATTGAGGGGGAGGAGTGCTGGGATTGCTCATGATTCTTTCGGTATTGAATGTTGCAGAGAAAGAAGAGGAATTACGGAGGGTTGCTTCAAATACAAGGCAAATGAGCAGTGTACTTGATGGACCACCACCACCACCCCTTCCTCTCTCTAATTAACACTATATATATATATATACACACACACACACATACATATTATATTATTTTTAATTTCAAAATTAAAAATCATTTTTTAGAAAAAAAATCTACTACGAAACTTGAAGTAGACGCACCCAATAATCAATAATACAGAATTATTTCCATGTGGAAATAGATAAAAAAAGAAAATTGAAAATTGAAAATTGAATTGTTTGGTTTTGTAGTTTTGCAGATAGATTAACTGTTGTTTTTCACCACCTCCTTTTTGGGCCTGATGTTTTTCAGACTTCCAACGGGGAAGAGGAAGGAGGAGGGGGGGGGGGGGGGAGTCTCAAGTGTAACGTACTCACACAGTAAATTCAGTGCACATGGAAAAAGAGGGGAGCCCACAAAATGAGGGATGAGTGGGACCCAGATTTGCCACTAAAGTATCTTGATCAGATGATGGTTTAGCATTCACGTTTATAACATTCTTTTGGGGCAGTCAAGAGTTTACATCATGAAAGGACCAAACAAATGTTTGCATAACAGATAGATGGCCATGATTGCGCCTCCTTTGTCTGATATCATTTTATATATATATATATATATATATATATATATATAATTATTTTTCTTTTCTTTTTCCCCCCTTATCATATTTATTATTCTCTTTTTTTTTAATTAAAAAATATATATATATATATATAAAATAAAAAATTGAAGGAATTAGAATATATGGTGTGTTCGTAAGGGGAGTGGGCCAAAAATCATTCAAGTTGTGAACAACATTTGATTAGGTTTCTCTTTTTGTCCTGAACAGAATCAGAATTATCCATCCAAAGGGGTTGACTTTTGACCAACTGTTCTTATGCTCTTTGATTCTGCTCATGTGCCCTCCTGCCTTATAATTTACTAATGCATATTTATTAATTAAACAAACAAACACTCTGCTTAATTAATTTGGAAGAGGAGCGAAACAATAATATTCCGTATTAAACTTTATAGTAGATGTTGCATGGGAATATATGTTACAAAGAGGCACCTTCGTTTTCATTTATTATTATTATTATTATTATTATACAAGTAGTATTGTACGTAGTGGAGAGAGGGTACATGGCAAAAAAGGAGGAAAATAAGAAAATTCTGAAACAGTGAGGTGAATACAAAATAAACATGTTCCAAATTTATGGGGTTGATATTCAGCTGCTGCTAACTTTTCATGCTTTGCTTAAGGCTGCTTTCATTATTATTGGAATATATACACATGTGTATACGTGTTTGTATCTCATTTCGTGTTTTCTTAATTAATCACATTGGTAATTTCCGCGTAAACATAAATAAAATACTTTAAAATCTCTTTCCTCTCTTCATTATACTGTTACATTATAAAACTCCATGCATTAAAAAAGAAAAGGGGGGTAAGGAAGCATGAAACGACGTAGCACGATCTGCCTGGATGAATGCATGAAACGATAAGAACGGGATACACACACAATATGTGCGTACGCATATATTTATGATGGAGATGCGGTGAATATCCCGTATTCTTTTGTGTGTAATACATATATCATATACATATACATATACATATACATATACATAGACAGTATATGTGCGTGTGCGTGTGCGTGTGCGTGTGTGTGTGTATATTAAAGTTTTCTTCTTATCTTTTACCTTCTTTAATTAAAATCCCCTGTTCCAACAGTGTAGCTCTGTGTTCTTTTTTTTTTTTTTTAAGAAGAATGGAAAATAAAGAAGAAACCAATTTATTAATGGCCTTTGTTTCTAGCACTAACAAAATGTTGCATGTGCTTCACAAGTACGTACGTAGCAAATGACACACAGCCTTTCGTTCGTCAACTGGCGTATTCCTTGCCTCTTCATAGGAGATTAAAGATCCAAACGTCCTCAAGTATATCCCCATAATAGAGAGAGCAGATGATTGACTCAAAAATAAATAAAGCATTCAACAAATTATTGCAAATTCAGAGCTCCACCCCCCAACGAATGGTCCATTTTATGCAAATATTGAGAAACAAAACAAAAACAAAAACAAAAAAAGCAGATACAAAATCTAGAAAGAAGAATATTAAGCACATAAAAGAAGAAAAAAGAAAAAGGAGCATACGTCAGAGTAACAAATACTGCGGCTTTTACACCACTCTATTCTTCAACACTTTAATTTCACACAAAATACTTGGAAACTTTTTTCAGAAAATAATATATGTACGTGCACATATAACTTCTGACGAATATTATTTGTGCTGAATGGAAGCGACTGTTCCAACCAATCCTGCATAAAAACAAAGGTACTGCAACAATTATTAGCAATGACGCAGACAATAACAGACTTGATTTCCCCTACTTCCTAAATTTTCCGCGGAGCATCAGAAAAGTAAATCGAGACAAATCCCAAGTGACTCCAAATGATTCACCAAGTATGAATAGTTCAAAAAGTAGGACACATCCTCATCATCTCAGACGCCCTTCCAAATTGTATACTGCGGCAGCAATCAGGAACTTGCTATCACAAGCACCAACTTAACCAAAAATAACCCAACAACTGCCAAAGTCCAATAATGGTTTAACCCAAAAACTT